CCTGTGTTCACGCCGTATTTTAAGAGTTACAATTTTTAATCAAGTATTTTTATTTGATCCTTCATATCGTTCTCTTTAAATATATACATATATATATATATATTTTAATTAGTGGCAGGCACAATCTCATTCAAATTCAAGGGTCTGACTTTGCTTATTTGTTTTACAAATATCGTGCTTGGATTGAAACGCATTGGTTTCAAAAGCGGCGTCTATCTAGTAGTTCTTTATCAAATCGAAATTTTACTAACTCCATTCGAAGAAAATAGCAAATGAAATGAGTAAACTTTTTTGGTATACAATCAATAGGCTTTCCAGTCTGGCAACCACTTGCTGTTGCAGGTCTATCGCAACGGCGACGATAAACTCATTTGCACCGGAAATGACGAGTGTGTCCTAATTAAAGGTTTAATAATGCGTGGGCCATCAAGTTAAGGTTATAGAACATTCCACATCGACAGAATGACAAAAGTTCCGCGCTGCTGATTTCACAGGCTTCAATTTGCTATTCGCTGCCAATCGATAGGCGAACACTTGGCGAGTGGCGAAACGAACGATTTCAATGTGGTACAACCAAACTCGTCATCGTCCATTGCTGCTTGCTTAACTATGTTGTTGCTTTCGCTTAAAAAATGTTTCATAAAGCAAGCGGAACTCAAATATAACGATTGACGTTTTGGAATGCTCCACTCTACTTCATCTAAAACGCCATTGGCCCTGTGGATGTATTTTCTATTTTTGCCCAATATTTTTATTAGAAATTATTACAAATAAAATAATGAAAATTAGAAATGGAAATCCTACTCGTATGCCAAATCTTATGTATACTGCATTCATACCAGATCTGGGCAATTATGATTACGATTACATTTCAATTACGATTGCCATAATTGTAATCTTTAAAGTATATACATTACTATTACTTCAATTGTAATCATAACTATTACCAGTATGAGTATAATAATTGCTACCTTAAACATTTAACGGCTATGATTATTCTTTAGTAGTAATCGTTAGAGTTTAATCATTACAATTAAAGTATTGGCAACCAAGCCAATACCATTGCAGTAATCACAATCTTAAGTAATCAAAATGTAATCATAATCCCAAGTACCCAGCTCTGATTCATACATACATAAGTCACAGACCCATCATTCGACACCCTAAGCACTGCCGTGTACTATTTGCCGCGGGTTTTATGTTATTCGTTTTTTTTTTTTTTTAATTTCTTATTTAACTCTTTTGCTAAGCCTACCAGATTATAAAATTCTATAATTGTGTATTATCGCCTCATCTGTCTTTTGAACATACATATGTATGTACATGTAAGTATGTATGGGAGTACATACATATATGCACTTACAAGCATACGAAGGGGCTACAAAAATAAGCAGAGCAATAATTTGCTGCTAAATTCCAATATTTTTTTCCTTTTAATTTGAAACCGCCAGTGTAAATGCCTTAGGAGTAATCAAATAACCAAAACCTAAACATTTAGTTGTCGTTTGTCGCTAATACATTTTTATTTAAGTGGCAAAATGTAAAAAAAACTCACAATTTTTGGTACAGGGTACTCGCACCATAATTGGTGGACTGTTTGGTTTTTCAACTAAATACATAGCTGCGGGTGTAAAGATTGGAAACTTATATTTTCTGCCACACATTTTTTCGCTTTCAGTAACTAATTTTTAATATTTGGCCATTAATACACATACATATTTACATACCTATATAAAAAATAAATTTAAATTCATATTTTGAATTTTTAATATTTTTAATACATATTTCTATTTTTTGTGATTACTAACATATATACAAATAAGTATGTATACCTCATGGTGAACTAAAATTTTATTGTTTAGATTTTATTGAGTTTAGGGTTTAAGTTCAGCAAAATTAGAAGCCCTTATTTTGGATTTTTGATGTGATAGGCCTGTCGTGATCGATTCTTTACATCTTTTTGTTTTTTTTTTTTGATGGAATGATCAGAGTTTCGGTTCTTCCTAGTCAGCTGCTCTTAGAAGATAATATTTTATACGAAATATTAATGACATATTCCAAATATAGCTTTCGTTTTTATACCTTTCATGAACCGGAAGAAGAAGAAGAGGTAGAACGTCAAGCTAAGTCGATTTACCAATGTCCGTCTGTCTGCTCGTTTGCCTGCTTTCCTTCAAAACTGTTTCATTTAGCAGCTAAAACGGTGGAAATCCAGGAGCTATTTACTAATTAAACATAAAAGGTCTAACAAAGAAATCGCCAAGATCGGTGCTGTAAAAGCTATATCTCCCATACCACCAGCTCCCAATCTAAGTAGTTAAGGTTAACACATTTTTCTGAAAATCAACTTATTGTAATGGGGCCCATTAAATGGGCAGCTGCCAAACAACTGACAAAAAAAAATACAGCAAAACTTCGAATATCGAATAAATATAAGATTTTTTCCTATAATTTGTATTAAAATTTTTTAAGTCAACAATGCCTTGAGCAACTTTCGATTCTTCACAACAACTTAGGCATCAAAGGCAATATTATTCCGAAATAAATGGCCTTTTGGGATAATAATCAAAACGCTCATCCAAATTAAACAAGATTGGTATCAAATGAAAGAGGACTTAAATAGCTTTAAAACTGAAATGTCGAAAACGAGGAAAGCTACATATTGAAGAATATTTCAAAAAAAAAAATGTTAATTAATTACCACAGAATTAACCTTGTGTTAGGTATATGGATTTCTTTAGTATTGAATTAAAAAAAAAAAAAATACAAAAAGAGGTCTTCCGTTATTTCTGTTTTAAAGCTATTTCAGTCCTCTTTCATATGTCTATAATCCGGAAAGGACTTTTATTTCGGAATAATATTCGCAACAACCCTGGTATTAAGGTGTATTCAGACTACACTCGTTAGTGACGTATTTCGGTAATCGGTAATTTTCACGAATATTCTGTCTTTGTTAATTTTGCGAATTTCCGAATAAACCTATACTAATTAAAAGATGTCGCATATCTGATACTGCTAGTAAAGCATTCACTAAAAGATTAGCTCATTTCCTGCTGTCATTTGTTTTCTACAATTTTCTGCCGCGAAATAAATTAAGTTTTTTTCAATTAAAACCGATCCTCTGGCGTGGAAAAGGTAAGACATCTTCAACGTAATCAGCTGATTCTAAAATCATTAGAACCAGAAAGAAGAGCGAATAGCATTTGTAGTTAAAAATATAACCGAATTACCGAATAAGAAATTTGGTCTGAATACCCTAATTGTCTCATCATAGTATAGTCAATATTTTAGTAAATAGGCTACTCTGGTCTCGCAAATCGTGTTTAGTACCCAAAATCAAATAAGATCAAGTGTGAAGTGTGCTGCGACTCTTAAGGAGAAATTTAAAAAAACAGCAAATGCTTTGTTTGTAAGCAAATGAAAACCAAATTTTTAAAGTATGGTGACCATGCTTAAGTTAATCTGGTTTGCTAGGCGTTTGTTGCGTTTGTATTTTCACTAATCATTTTTAACTTTAGTTACTTGTAGTTAATCATAAACAGTTTAATTCACGTCACTTATCTAAACAACCTAACCTAGTGAATATCGCATTTATTACTTACTCCTTCTACTAATTCTTTCATCGATTTGAGATGCTTCTGTTCTCTGTATTAGGTAATATGTAATATGTAATTTTTATTTTTATTTTTATTTTCATTTTTACGTACATAGTATGTATCCCTGTTCTATTCTATTTAATTTATTTCATATTTTTGTATTTTTGTCATTGTTTCGTTTTTAATGGTTTTTAGCACTTAAAAAATTCGATTTTTTTCTTTCATACAAATTACAAATTTTACAATACATAAATACACATAAACTTGCGGCAGGTAGGTTGGCTGCCGCTTAGGATGCTAATTTGTTTTCAAATAATATGCTCGTTTGGCTCACACAATCAGTGCGCGCATTGCCCGCGTTAACGGCCATGCAAAATTTTAAACTTTTGCATTTTCTTAAACATTTAATTATTTCTTCTCTAAGATATATTTACAATAACAATTCTAACAACATCCATCTTCCCTTACAGGTAGGTACACATTCCAGGACATAAGACGGCGGTTGAGGGCAACAATCGGTTGAGGTTAAAGGAGGTTTTTGGCATTCCAACTTTATTTACAAGATTTTACAAACACAGACAAATTTATATGCAGATTCAAAAATGACGAAGAATGAAAACAATGGAATAAAATTAAAGAAATAAAAAGAAAAAAAAGTGTTTAAAAAAAGTGTGTTTACAGGTGGGGATTTTTAACTAAAATGTGCGTGGTCCTTCATCCAGGCATTTGAAATAAATACTTATAGAGAAGAACGAATACATAAAAAAAAATTAAGTTCTTTTCAAAAATGGAACCAATGGCAAATTAAATTCACCTCTTTAAAATTAAAGATCAGTAAGATGCTTTTATTTAATTCTAGGCATGTACATTAGGGTGGATCGACAAAAAAAGTTTTTCCAGTCCACCCCTAGGATTAAAGATATTTTGAAGGCGATCGCAAAGACTAAAAAAAATTTGAATTTAGGTATGATGTGAAACGAGATACCGACAGTCACTACTAGAATTTGAACTCGGAGTAAAAAATGATTAAGGTAAGAATTGTGGCGGCTTCCAAGCCATGAACAACGGTGTACGGCTCATTAAAATCGGACGTAGTGTCAAAAAAAGTAAATAGCCCATGGGGGGGGCGTGGCAAAAAAAACAAAAATTTTTTTTGGGATCGCCTTCAAAATATCTTTAATCCTAGGGGTGGACTGGAAAAACTTTTTTTTTTGTAAGGGGACCGATCCGCACTAATGTACATACATATGTACATTGAAATATGTCAACTAAAACTCAACCACCGCAAAATGTCTAAAAATTCAGTAATATTTCCATCAGTTCGCTTTCGAATATTATTGCCTCATGCCTCAATAGGCGTTAAAAATGTGGAAACATGATTTTTCTGTAAAAATAGCACAAATCAATAGTGCACAAACACTTATCTACAAGCTTTCACAAATTTCGCTTCCATACAACCACAGGTACATACAAACAAACATATGCACCTGCATAGTACATTCAAAAAAGTATGCACTTAAATGCGCTTCAAACAACGCTGCCAACAAGTCTAGGCGACGGACAGCGATTTCGAATTTCCCCCAGCACAAATTTTCACTATAACCCAAAATCATTCGACTCTTTGCCGCATATTGGATGGATCCGCGTCAAATGGTCGCGCACGTTTTTGGTAACCTTTTTTTTTGATTTGTTGTTTGTTTACCTTCTACAGCATTGACACAAATTTTGTTAGGTTACCAACAGGTGTTGACGGTGGTGATGGTGGAAATTGCGTTGGTGTTGTGGTCCAGCCGTTGTTTGCCGTAAGTATGGCGCGGAAGCTGGGGCTGTGTGATGCGCATGCAGCAGAGAAGGCATCGGCGTGCCACACCAAAACAGCTGCTACGTGTTGATATACAAAAGCTAACCAAGTGTGACGCTACAAAATTTGGGACAACAACGCAATTGACAATTTGGATTGCAGCGTCTGTCGCTGTGGCGGAAGCGGTTTTGGCTCATCGTGCATAGCGTTGTGCGTCGGGTGCGAATGTGCAACTTTTACACTGCCACTCGTAGATGCCGGGGACGCCGCCGCTGAGCCTTCAACGGACGAAATTTCGCGTTCCGTAACGTCTACTGCAAGTAAATCTCGGCTCACCTCTTTTCCCGCGCCAGGTTTTTTTATCGCCTTCTTTGTCGCTGTAGCGTCGTAGGTCACAGGCGCATTTTTGTCGGAAAACGCTGCAATAGATGCTGAAGATGCTGCTGCACTTAATACGTTTTCGCTTCTATGCCTATTAGCTTCAGCGGCGTTGCCAACCTGGGCATTACCTTCAACGTAACGCGCCAAGAAGCGCACAACCGCGCCATTCACGACGCTTAGTAAAGCGTCTTCTTTATCAAGCTGCACTTGTGTGTGTTGCTGCAATGGCAGTTGCAGTTGGTGGCGCAACAGTTGTGGCGGGAAGTCTAATAATTTTCTACTACGCTCCGCCGAATCGCCGCTGTGTTATGGAATTTGTTGATGCGCTTGCTGGGATGATGCTGCTGCTGCTGCTGCTGCTGCGTCCGTTGCGTTTTTGGTAGAGCGCGCCCGTTCTAATGTCTCCTTGAGAAGGCGCTCACTCTCTTGGCGAACTGTGCGAACGAGAGAAAAAAGGGGGAGAGAGGGGAAAAAAGAAAGTAACGTTAGTTCAGGGGATAAATAATTGGCAAAGGGCATTTAAACGAGAGTGTAGAGTAGGTTTAATAAAATTAAGACAAGAAAAAAACTGGATACTTTTACACTAAAGCATCTTACGCATTCGAGCATTTGTATGTATTTAGTTAGTTTCGCGCGGTGGGGATGTACACTTTCGTTAATCACAATCACTTTTAGTTATTTGATATTTACTGTAGTCTTATGTCTGAACTGCGATTGAAGTAAATGTCTGTTGATGAGTATTTTTAAACTCTCATCAATCCAGACTATTTACTTTAAGCACAATTTAACATTTAAACAATCGGAGTTATCGAATTATCAACATGAATATGTAAAGTAAGTTGTTGTTAAAAGTTATCAACAAAAAAACGTGGGCAAAAAAGCTTACCTTGGAAAAACCATAGAAAATTGTTACTGTAAATTGAGTTCTTTGTGGAAGCCAAATAATGAATGAAGGTGGTATTTTTTGTATAAAAAATGTAGTATCTGCTTCACCTACTTATATAAATATACATCTCACCCTTGTAGATTTGTGTGCTTATTTCTAAACGTCTGTTGCTGAAATCACTCGTTTTTCATCGTCAGTAATTGGAATTACAGACATACGTACTGATATAAGATTACTGATAGAGGAGGGATAGAGGTAGGCTTTGCTGGAATGCGATACGAATGTATCAAATTTTCGCTTTATCGATCGATTTCATGGTTAGAATTAGTTAAAACAGCCACCTATTTTGGTAATACTTTTACTAACTTTTATTTCATCTAATCCAACAAATATAAGGCAGGCGGTTAGCTTCTATAATTAACTTATCATTTTAAATCTTTTTATCGGTTGAAGTGTTGCCAGGTTGGACCAGAATGCTTCAAAAATTACAAAAGGTCCCGATAAGGAACATCTAAAAAAAATTTTCGAGAAATGAATCACGAACAGAACAGAAGTCTCGGAAAAATTCCAAGATTACCCTAAAATTCCCGACAAGTACCGAAAAATCACTAAATATGAAAAGTTCCTGAAAAACAAAGCAGAAACTCCAGCGGAACCCAAAAAAGGAAAGGAAAAGCCCAAAAAAAGGGAAAATCACAAGTATTTTCTTTTATTATCATCGCGTATAAAATAAAAAGCAAAAATTAGACTGTACGGACACTAAATTGACCCAAAAACACTGCGAGACACGTTAACTTAATTTTTGATCATAGCTTTCGGATCTGTATACCGCTTTTTTAAATCATTTTCATTTTAAGTTTGCATTGCGAATGAAAAAAAAAATCAAACTTTAACATGGAAAAGGTTACTCATACGCTATGAGTAACATACGAAAAATTATTGCACATTTTCATTTGACCATTCCAAAAGTGTTTATTTGTCCATAGAATTTCATCGTTAGTTGCTTGATTTTTAAGCAAAAGAACTGGCTTTAATATAAATGAAAACAAAAAAAAAAAAAAAAAATTGTTAAAGTTGTATTTTTTTTTTCATGAAGATGAAAGTATCTTCGTGAAAATGACCCGATCTGGGAAAAAAAGTATACATATCCATAATCTACGTGTTTCGGCGTTATTTGTGTCATTTTGTCAAAGTAGAGATTTTCCCTACAGGGTTATCGGTTATTTTCTGTTCAACAGAAGTAGCAGGCGAAGCTCTTTTTATTTTCGCCTTAAAAAAATTACAGTATTTACAGTACAATTTTTTTTTTAGTCACGGAGAAATTGTATTTTACAACGAAAGAGGATTCTAATGGCAGCTGCAATCCCGTTCGAATCCGACCTTACTATAATTTTTTTATCACACTTTACTTCAAAGCGATTCCGAACTCGTAAAACTGGTAAAAGAGAACACTGTTGAGAGAGCAAATGACGTACTCTCTTAGGGCGAAGATGTTTTGATAATGCTTGTTGAAAAATATTTAATTACTTGTTTGAGCAGATTCTAATGCACTTGTAAGAATTTTTGGTTATTTTACTATCCCTCTGTTACTCTCTCGCTCCGATAGAATTTTTATTATTTTACAGTTTTATCAGAATTAGTCCGATAAATACGGGACTGAATCTGGTATCTCCGAAAAACGATACGACCATTTTTCACTCTCTTTTCGATTTCAAAATCAAAAAATAACGACTTCATGGTTAGAGTCTCTGCTTTAAAGCTTGAGAGAAATCGCGCACTGTACCCGCCTTCTGCCTCTTTGTCTCGCACTCCTTTCCTACATTCATCATCAATCTTTAACCTCGCCTCATCGGTGAAAATAATTAATTTGCACACTATTTATTCTGTTTGCTTTTGTGACGCTACACCAAGCAGCGCATACACACACACGTACACGTACAACAAGTGCCACACGAAAAAAAAACGAGAATCGCCATTGACAAAAACAAAATTTCAGTTTGCCAATTTTCGCTACAATGCCTGGTTTAAGGTGTCACAATGCTGCTCTGATGCTGCTACTTGCTCCTGCTGTGGCATGCAGCGAGTATGTCAATATGCCACAGCCACTAAAAAATGACACGCATGCAAACTTACATATACATACATACATACAAATGTACATACGGGTATGTCAATGTTGCTCAGGTTGTTACTATCTATTGTGTATGTGTGAGCCAGAGCAACTACACTACGCACGTATGTATTGTATGTATAGTATATATAGTATATGCGCGTGTGTGCACACAAATTACTGAAAATTTAATTAAAAATTTGTTTGCACGTTGGCTTCGGTGAGTGAAAGCATGAAAACCGAACGTAAAACTTAATAAAAAAAAAAAAAAAATCCCAAAAATAGATTACTAAGTTATTAATAAAAGAGGGGCTAACAAGCGGGTTGTGGTTGTGGCAGAAGGACGCGGATTATGCTCTGTGGCGGAAAAGTGAAGTGCAGCAACTTGCATAATAGATACGTATGCACATACTAAGTAGATAGAAGAGTACAGCTGAAAAAAAAAATGTGCTCCACAAAGTTGCCATGAATGACGAATTTTGCGCATAGTTGGAGCGAGCCGGGTGGTGGCCCATGTTGTACTATTTACTATATAAATATCATATGAGCGAAAACTTTGTGCTTTATTAATTCCATTTATGCATGCGAACTTGTAAGCGGGCTGCCAGAGCTGTTAATGCCGCTTTGACATACTTAAGTACACACTTACATATACATACATATACATATATTGACACACTGCGTACCACGAGCCTTGAAAAAAGGATAAGTTTCACACACAAAAGTTGTAACGAAGCTTGCAAAAGATGAAAAACCCAATGAATTTTGAGCGCACATACAAACATACATGCATATACATATATACACCCACATTTGTGTGAGTAATTTCAGTTAATTCAATTAGATAAATAGTGGCAGCAAAAAACGCCGCCAGCATGATGAAGTATCTCAATCGAGTGTTGTTGGCAAACTTTTGCTTGTGGCAAGCTGTTGCAAGTTGCTAGGGTTCGGCTGGCTGGCTGGCTGCCTGCCTGCCTGGCTGGTTGGTTGGTTGGTTGCTTGGCAGCCATTGTGGTTAATGGTCTGATTATGCATAGTACGCATAGCTTTGCATAACTTCGCATAACTTCGCATAGCTTTGCATAACTTTGCATAACTTTGCATAACTTTGCATAACTTCGCATAACTTTGCATAACTTCGCATAACTTTGCATAGCTTTGCATAACTTTGCATAAACTTCAAATTGCAATTTCGTATGTATTTTGTGTATGTATTCCATTACCCAGAAATTTAGCAGAACTTTTAAAAACTTAGCCATCTGTTGAGTTTAGATTTTGCTTCACATTTCCTTAAGTTACATTTTTATTGCGAACTTATGCGAAGTAGTTATGCATAATCAGACCTTAAGCGAGCTGTTAATTTGTTTGCTGTGCGCTGCTCAAAGTTGTACTTCAAAGTTGAGCGCAATGTAAACATGCAGTTCCATGCAAACCGCACACATACCCGCACACCTGACCTGACTGGCGCACGCTGCCAATTTTCACTCAATTATAGTTTTTGTTGTGGGCAAATAGGCTTAAATGGCTTAAACTATTACAAAGGCCAGCAGTCAGCAGTCAGCAGTCGGCCAACGTGAGAAGTAGATCGACCGTTGAACAATGTATCTCCGTTTTATCGGATTGCTGGCTGGCTGGCTGGCTGTCGGTCTGTCTGTTTGCGCAATGTGTGATGTGTAAGTATGCGTGTCTAGGCATCTATACGAAGCAACTTAGCTGTGGTTCACCACAGCAGCAGCAGTTTTGTGGCATTTACTTACGTTGGCTCCACGTGTGTGTGCTTTGTTTGTCGGCTGAGTGCGATTCTTCTACCGTAAAGTAAAAGACCTTAAGCATCTTGGGTGGCGAAGTTTGGTTGAGAAATATTTTCAAGTGATTTTTCTACCAGCAAAACATTCTAGTTGAATTATGGTTTGTGTGGGTTGCAATAATGAAGTGAGTGGGCGAAGGGTTTTAGAAAAGAACACAAGTGTTTGCAAGACGACTTTGAGCTGCAGAAGCATATGGGAGATATGTACATGCAAACACATACATATGTACATACGTAACTATGTTAGTTAGAGTGGGTCAATTTGTATTGGAGATTGTATTTTTCAAAGTGTTTCTCCGAGTCTTACTCCTTATTTCAGACTTCTCGCAGTGGTGCCGAGCTAGGGCTGGTGAGGAAGATCAGCAGTGCTCGTTTCCGCCGGCCATGAAATAGCTGCTAGTACTACCGGAGGATCAGTAGTTTGACTGTAGGATGTTTATTTTTGGTTACATCTAACACTGACGCTCAACAATGGCTAAAAGAGGAAAGCGATTTAAAAGTTGGTTTGAATTAGAGAGTCACAAGAAACTTATTGCGTTCAAAGCACAAATGTAGGGATCCAAGAGGCCTTGGAAGTGTGGAAGACTTAGTAACGCTTGAAAAGTTTCCTTTTTGACGAAGAACACTTAGT